TGTCCACCAAGCATGATAAAATGTCCCTTCATGCTGTTCACATTTCCAACATACATTTGGAATGCCTTTATACATTCTGGATAATTTCCCTGGCATCATGTACCAACGATACATCATTTTATAACAATTCTCTTTGAGATCATAACACAATGTAAATTTCAACCCTTTTGACCACACATTTTCCCATTGATCCATCTGTACTGTATATTATAACCAAAATTCTTAGCCCACTTTATCATACCTGCAACACTAGAAATTTCGACCTCTTGTTTGTACCAAATAGTTGTGGACAGAAAGAGTTCTGTTGGCTTAACACAAGTTTCAATGGTGGCCCTTTCAATGTCATCTGGTTTAAAAGGGAGAGGCTGATAGAATGAGAAAGAGAAAGAAATGTAAGAAAAAAAGGATACAGCTTACGGGACAAAGGTAGAGGAAGATACGACCTAATGGCTAAAGGTAAACATGTGTATTTTTAATGTTAAAAAACGGTCTCAGAGTACAAGATTGGGGCCACTGTAGACATTTGGTTTAGAAAGGTTTAATAAAAGTTCCTCTGTTAGTACTGCTGGGCGTGAGTGCTGATCATTATATAGCCAGAATGGCATCTCCCATGCAGAAAAGGCAGTTTTGGCAAACTCAAAAATACCCCAACTTTTGCCAACACTCTTGAGGAAAAGAACATTTAAAGGCAGAAGGAAAGAAAAACATCCAGTAAGTTGGAGGCATCTGCGGAAAAATGAAATTAAGTAACTTAAGAAGGACAAGTCTAGTTGGAACGGGAAAGATGAATGCCACGTTCCATTTTATTTCAGGTCCTGTTTATTTATTATACACCTGAAAATTACTCCTGAATCAAGCACCTGGCACTCGCGTTGGAACCAGGAAAATGACTGCTTTCATGTCGACAAAACTTGATAGTCTCTGCAAAGCCCCATTCTGTGACCCAAAATCTTCTGAGGCAGCTATATCTGCTTCTTAAATAACCTTTCCTTATAGAAAAATGAGTAATTGAGTTGGCTTCTTTTTCAGTACAGTCTAGAATAGGAAATTTAGTTTCTGGAAAATCTGGCAGCCAGAACTGTTTTATGCTGTCAGACCAAAAATGCCTCATTCGGTGCAACTGTCTAAATCTGTTTTTTTGCCTACTCAGCTCCCCAGAACTGTTCTGGGCATTTACCAGCTCTACCATCCAGGGATGAGTTGCTTCTGGACTGAAGCCCAGCCTCATTCGTGTAGAGAAAGGTCCAGTTTGGTTCTGGAGATACTGGCTACTGTAAGGACAGGGAACTTGGTTCCTTTCAGATGATATGGGAATATAATTCCCAGAATTCCTTACCGTTAGTCATGCTGGTTAGGTATGATGGGAAGTGTAATCCAAAATGTCTGAAAGACAGCAAGTGATCTACCTTTATATTATTAGACTGCAGACCTTGAGAAGTTCCTGCTGAAGTAATTCAGCCCTCAGGAAAAATGGATTAGTTCTTGGGCTATGCTAAGCCAAAATTGATGGAGAAGAGGAGGCTAACGCAGGCAGTCAAAATGACAAGCCTCCCCGTAACCAAGAATTCTTCATCTACTGTAGATGGTTGCAGTTCCCATCCTTCTCTGCAAGGATGGCTGGGTTGATGGGATTTTCAGTCCAACGCTTCTGAAGGATGCCTAGCTGAAGGAGGCTGAGCTAGACCAAAGGATCTTTCTCAGCAATTAATGGAAGCATTTTCCTGGGCTCATTTTTCTTTTTTCCTTCAGAGAGCTGCACCATGTTTATGATGTGCCTGGCCATGGTTGCCCCCCTGCTTTGTGCCATCCATGCCCTGCCACTTTGTAATCCCAGGGACTTCCCCAGCACCACGGACATTCCTTGCATTGAGATTCCACCCAGGCATTGGGAAACCACCTCACCATATGTTGTCCTTTCCACACACAAGCCCAGAATCTGACACACGTCCAGCAGCTCTGGTGCCCAGAAAAGCATTGCAGTGTGGGATGCTGAAAGTAGATGGGTGACGAATAAGACTTTTTTAACTATAATTTTTATTCAAAGTTTTAACAGCAGTAATAAGAACTAATACAAACTAAAACAAAACAGAGAAGACAAAAAAGAGGGAAATAAACAGAAAAACCTAAAAGTGCAGTTAAAAAAAAGTAGAAGAAAGTAGGAAAAAAAGAGATAAAGAAAGATATAAAGGTGTAAAGAAGTGGTTTCTGATAGACTTCACAACAGTTTTGAGTACAATTATATTTTAACCTCTCTCACACATCATGACTCTCTTTTTTCTATAATCTATCCTGTCTAATCATCAAAGCCATAAATCACAAGTTTTTAAAAAAAATTTACGCAAAAAGTCTATAAGGGTTTCCTGTCACGAATAAATGTAGATATTGTGTTTTCTCTAATCAAAGAAGTCAGTTTATCCATCTCAGCAAGTTCTGCCAATTTCACCAACCACTCCTCCATAGTGGGTAATGCCCAATCTTTCCATCTTTATGCATATAGTAATCTCGCTGCAGTAATCATATATTGAAATAATCTTCCATGGCTTTTTTCTAACTGTTTATCCATCAATCCTAAAAGGAAAAGTTCTGGCTTCAACTGAATACTAATTTTTAAAATCCTCTGTATCAAAGTATCTATTTGAATCCATTTTTTTTAACCTTTTTACATGTCCACCAAGCATGATAAAATGTCCCTTCATATTGTTCACATTTCCAACATACATTTGGAATGCCTTTATACATTCTGGATATTTCTCTGGTGTCATGTACCAACGATACATCATTTTATAAAAATTCTCTTTGAGATCATAACATAATGTAAATTTCAACCCTTTTAACCACATATTTTCCCATTTATCCATCTGTATATTATAACCAAAATTCTTAGCTCACTTTATCATACATTCTTTAACCTGTTCTTTCTCTGTTTCAAATTTCAACAAAAGTTTATACATTTTAGCAATTACATGGTCATCATCAGTATACAATTGTACTTCAAATTCTGTCTTATTTTGCTCTGTACCACAAGACCTTTTATCCATTTTTAATCTTTCTGATAACTATAAATGGGAAAACCATTGACGACTATATCCTTCTGCTATTAGTTGCTCTCTTGATTTAATTTTATATACCCCTTGATTATTTTCCAATAATTCCTGGTACATTAATCATTTAGCTTTACGTGCTGTTTCTCTTCTGTGGAATGCTTCTTGTGTTGAGATCCACAGAGGAGTTTTCGGGCACAGTCTGGGTTTATATCTATTCCATATTCTCAATATCGCATGTCTAAAAAAAATTATTTTTAAAATTCACATTAATTTTAACTTTATTGTACCCTAAGTATCCATGCCATCCAAATCTCAGGTCGCGGTCTTCTAACTCTAAAAGTCACTTGTTTCTCGGCAACACCCATTCTTTCATCCAGACTGGTGACAGATAAGACTGAGGCTTTGGACATCAGAGGTATGACTGTGACTGTGATCTCCACAATCCAAATACCTGGGGGGACTTCATTAAGCAGTATTTCTGTGAGACAAAATGCAATCCGAGATCAAGAAGCTGCTGGGGTGTAGATCAACACTACATGAACTCTATATGCAAGAGTGTACAGACATATGTGAGGGCACTCACTATGGATAAGGGCAACATGATAGGGTAGCACTGGATCAGGCTTGATGTTTCATGCATATGCACTATCAGCCCTGCCTATTCACATAGTCTAGATCACTGTTTCTCAACCTTGGAAACTATGTGGATTTCAACTCCCAGAATTCCCCAGCCAGCATGCTGGCTAGGGAATTCTGGGAGTTGAAGTCCACATATCTTTAAGTTGCCAAGGTTGAGTGACACACTTTACAATATAGAACATACTCAGCCAAGGATCAGTGACATTCCAAGGTGCGATGCGGGCACTCATCAACTAAGGGAATAATTAGATAGTAATTTCCACGCTGGAGGGGAAACAATTACTATAATCTTAATTCCTTCCTCACACTATATTTTCAGGAATGAAAATAAGGTGCATTTCGACTTCAGTTAGGCTTGACTGCATGCCAAATGTATAGTTCCTAATCGTATTCCATGAGAAGTTCCCACAAACATCTAAAAGCATAATTTCCCTGTTCCTTTCAGCCTCTGAAGTAATTCAACTCATCAATATATTGTATATTCGCAGAATCATAGATCTGGAAGGCACTTTAGAGAGCACGTAAGCCAAACCCTTGCTCAGCATAGGATCTACTAGAACATCTCTGAAAATAACCATTTATCCTCTGATACACTTGCTCACAAAAAGCTGCATTCTGCTTTAGATGGTAAAATGCATTACTTCCTTTGCAATATGCAGTATGCGGTTCTTCAGGTCCATGTCCCATCTTCTCCAATGACGATCTCAGTGCTGCCAAACAGATATTTGAGGAGACATTTTCTGTGCGCCCGGATCACTAGATTCTCCAGAATTCTTCTGCATTCTTTGCATTATGCATTTGAAAACAGCTTTTCGACATTGAGAAAACAGTCCACTATCACTTACTTCCTCACAGAGCATCCTCTAATATATTCTTATGGCCTTCCTTGATCCATTTTGCTTGTCCAGCCACTATGGACCTTCTTTAAAACCAAGCTGCCTCTGTTGGTTTTACCCTTCAGCAAAACAAGTTTTTTCCTTATTTTACAATATAATCCTGCATGTGGCTATTCAGAAGTCAGTTTTATTTTTTTTAATTCAGTTTGTTCCTTAGTACTCACTGTAGGAAGATAGGCTTAATGAGCATGTAAGCTCATATTATGAAAAATGTAACTTTATATTCAGTTTCTTTTCTACAAGTATTTGGGCTCTGTTTTCCTGTCTTGTGTGCACTGTCAATAAAACTATTCCCTGAATTCAGGTATTCTAAACTGGCATGAATTTGTAAGTTTCAAAGGTAACAAAACACCTTGTAACAACTTCCACATTTAATAAGGCATAAACGTCTGTGGATTCTTCATAAGATTTGTGGGGCATAATCTGAGTTTGGCAAGACTATAATTATCTCAGTGTCTGAACTGTTTGCAGTGATCTGAATGGAAAATGCAGGGCAAACAGTATGACTGTGACAACCATGATGATGCTTAATGCTATGTTATCCTATATTTAAAACATTTGCTAGTCTTTAAAGTGACTTGAGACACTCTGTATATTACCCAAGTCCAAGTGCTTGCGGTTTTTTCTAACCATCCCAGCCTTTCAAAGTACAGTATTTCTGAGACTCCACTTCCACTTTACACATAAACGCAAGATCAAATCCGCATTATTTGGCCCTGAGTGCCATCTAATGGGTATCGCTGGAATTGCAAGCCTTTAAAATCTATGATGGGGTTGCAGAAGATGCACGGCGAACGAAGAAGGCTGGACGTAACCATGAGTCGGGGTGCGGGGAAGGGGTTAGTATTGTGGTGGGTCTGGTAATGGAACGAGATACGGCTTGCACTTCAAGCTACGTTTAATTGCCGATCCAACTTCTTAAAGGAATAATGAACTTAAAGGGCAACATGGTTAGGACTGCGAAACGGGAGGAGAGGGGGAGGCAGAGAATGGGGATAAAATATCCCGGAAGCGGGCATGGTTTACTTTCGGGTAAATACGGCTAGTACAGCCTGTCACTGAACCCAACAGTCCTGCTTCCTACGTTGCTTCTTCTAACCACTGCACCTCCCTCGGTCGAATCGAAGGCAAAGCTCACGAAGACCCGCAGAACGTTAGGCTGAAGAGAGTTCTATCACCCGGGCAACGTTTGTCACAAACATTCTACTGGTCCCGCCCCTTTCGTGATCCCCTCGCACGCGCCGCTTCCGCTAGAGCAACAGCTAGCAACCATGTCCAAAAAGCAGAGGCAAACATGGCAGGCACTTTCTTCGCCTTTCCCTTCGGTTGGGAGGTGGATTCCGGCGCGCTGGTGCCCTCAGAAGGCCGCAGACAAGACTGGAGGCTGACCAGCAGTGGAGTGGGACTCAACTATAGCCCACCATTGCCCTTCCCACCGCCCTATGCACGAGTGAGCACGCTGGTGATATTTAGTGGGGTAGCTGGTGCAGGCCGGGTAGCTTGTAAACTATGAGGTTTGGAGATGAGGAGGCTGAGACCCCCGTTCTCCGCCAGAGGGCTGGAGCGGTGCCAAAAGCCCGGAGGCAGGGTCATCTGAAGCAGACCCTGTTTGCATCTACACGCACCCCGCTTTTTTTCCCTGACTGTCCATTCCTTTCCTGTGTACTCACTGCTCCTCCTGCAACCTTCCCATTGCCAGTCTACAATCCAGGAACCGTTGCCACCTGCCTCCCAGAAAGTGTGGCGGGATGAAGTCATTCCCCGGCTGGCAACCACTTCACAGCTTGCCCATGACACGAAAACTCATGGTGGAGTGCTAGCTCAGCCTCGCTACTCTGTCTCTGCCCCATACCTGAACGTCCACTACAATAAAGATCTGAGAGAGAAGGTAAGAGATTCTTTGGGGGAATTTGGGGAACTGGGTGCTCTGAGGAAACTGTCTTGAGAAAGGAACTAAGAAGCAGACTCCTGGTTTTGCTAGAGGAGGAGGAGTTAAGACCCCATCCCTTTCCCAGGAAGACTGTTGGCACGGCAGGATGAAGAGCCTGACAGGCCATATCAGTCGGCCCCAGAAGGAACAGCTGTGGGAACACTTACAGACACTTTCATCATACCATTTAATGCTGGACTTTGCTTTTTCCTCCTCCCTCTCAACCACTTTTTCTTTTGTGCCAGACTTTTTTGTTGCAAGCCTGAAGGCAGAGCCTCTTTCTCTACTGATACTTATAAATTGCCCAGTGTTGCTTGGCTGTATTTTCCATGCATGCTTTTTTCATATTTCCAAAACAAAAGAACTAGAGGTGTATCTTGTTTCAATCACCATGAAACACTGGAGGGAGGGGGTGATGGGATTTTAAAAAATAAATGCATGAGGCACGAGATATTTTGGCCCTGAGGTAAAATCAAGTTACAGATTGCCCAAGGTTACTCTGGCGCATGAAACAGAACATCCCAAACTTTCTTTTCAAAGATACCTTTTTAAAAGCACATTATATTGAATAATAAAATAATATCCTCTCCTCTCATAAATCATCATCTGCCAAAGATGGCTGTCTCGTTTTGCCTAAGGACAGAGGTGACTTGTGAATAAGTAACCTTTCTGCTCTGAACACTAAAGGGTTAAGAAAGCCACCCTCAGCATAAACAGAACCAACAAGAATATGAGGATTGAAAATGAGCACTTTCTCCCCCAACCCCCTAGGACAGTGTTGTCCAAACTTGGCCACTTTAAGATGAGTGGACTTCAACTCCCAGAATTCCCCAGCCAGCCATGGTGGCT